GGAGGAGGAACCTGCCATGAAGTATGTGTGCCAGGACAATGACTTACTCCTTAAAGACAGGCAAGGCTTCCATGACTCTCCACCGGCGGATTTCTCCAGCCATGAAATGGACAGCGAGTCACACCTGAGTGAGTCCAGTGACCGCATGTCAGACTTTGAGAGTGCCTCAGTGAAGAACGAAGAAGATAGTTCAGCCAAGGAGCCCCTCACGTCTCTTTCATCAACTTCATCTGTGATGATGACGACAACAGCCATGCCAAGCAGTGAGGAGGCAACAACATTAGGCCCAGACAGCCTGGAGCAGATGAAAGCTATCTACACTAGCTTCCTGACCAACTCCTACTGGTCATCTCTGAATTTGAATATGTCTCAACAATCAGCAGAAAAGCCCCCACGTAGTCATAGTAGCAGCAGCAGTAGTAGCAGCAGCAGTAGCTGTGGTAGTGGCGGTTACGACTGGCACCAGACAGCAATGGCTAAGACCTTGCAGAATGTTTCACAGAACCAGAGTAGACTGCTGCACCCAGCATCTGAGCCAAACCTCTTCAGTACTGTGCAGCTTTATCGGCAGAGCACCAAACTCTATGGTTCCATCTTCACTGGTGCAAGCAAGTTCCACTGCAAAGACTGCAGTGCTGCCTATGACACTCTGGTCGAGCTCACCGTGCACATGAATGAGACGGGCCATTACCGAGATGATAACCATGAGACAGACAGTGAAGGTGCCAAGCGCTGGTCGAAGCCTCGCAAGCGTTCCCTGCGGGAGATGGAAGGAAAAGAGGATGCCCAGAAAGTTCTAAAGTGCATGTACTGTGGCCATTCCTTTGAGTCACTGCAGGACCTTAGTGTTCACATGATAAAGACAAAACACTACCAGAAAGTGCCTCTTAAGGAACCAGTAACTCCTGTGGCAGCCAAGATTATCTCTTCAGCTCGTAAAAGAGCCCCCATTGAGCTAGAACTCCCCAGCTCACCAGATTCCAATGGTGGCACCCCCAAGCCTACTTTGTCTGACCCCAATGACCTTCTTCAAAAGACCCCCAATCCCTATATCACACCTAACAATCGGTATGGACACCAGAATGGAGCTAGTTATGCATGGCAGTTTGAGTCACGAAAATCCCAGATTCTGAAGTGCATGGAGTGTGGAAGCTCACATGACACACTACAGGAGCTGACAGCCCATATGATGGTCACAGGACACTTCATCAAGGTTACTAATTCTGCCATCAAGAAAGGCAAACCTATCATGGAGTCGATGTCCACAACGGCTCCTAACACCATACCTACTAATGAAGACAAGGTACAGTCAGTGCCACTGGCTGCCACCGCATTTTCCCCACCACCACCTGCACCTCCTCCCCCTAGTATCTCCCCTGCCATCACACCCATGGAGATTAAAAAGGAGGAGAAGGAAGTGGAATGTACCAAGGAGACAAATGATAGCAAAGACAAGAAGGCAACAGAAAGTGAGACTGACGAGAAGTTTGAAGTCTCATCCAAATATTCATATTTGACAGAGGAAGATCTTGAAGAAAACCCTAAGGGGGGGTTTGACATTCTGAAGTCTCTCGAGAATACAGTAACATCTGCCATTAACAAAGCACAGAATGGCACACCCAGCTGGGGAGGCTACCCCAGTATTCACGCTGCCTACCAGCTTCCAAACATTATGAAACTGTCCCTGCGCAACTCAGGGAAAAGTTATCCTCTGAAATATATGTTTTCTGGAGAAGAGATCCTGTCTCCTATCAAAAGCCAACCTCTAATTTCTCCACCTAGTTGCCAAGCATCCCCTTTGCCCAAAAACAACTTCCATGCCATGGAGGAGCTAGTCAAAAAAGTCACAGAAAAAGTGGCCAAAGTAGAGGAGAACATGAGGGATCCTGGAGCTAGATCTTCCCCCCTTAGACGGACCACACCCTCCCCTTGCAGTAGCGATGCAGGGGAATCTGCCAGAGGCGAGTCCCCAAAGGAAAGGAGAGGAGCCAAAACCCCTGAGACTAATGGTGGCGGAAACACTCACAAAGACTCAAATGGTGATGCTCTTACAAAAGAGTCTCTGGAGAATGGTACTGACCATGTTGTGAAAACCCCTGTGTCTACCCTATGCAGCAGCACTGCTATTATAACCGACCATCCTCCAGAGCAGCCATTTGTCAACCCTTTAAGTGCGCTTCAGTCTGTCATGAATGTTCACCTAGGAAAAGCTGCCAAACCTGCCCTGCCATCCCTTGACCCCATGAGCATGCTCTTCAAGATGAGCAATAGCCTGGCAGAGAAGGCAGCTATTGCTGCCTCCACTCCATCTCAGACCAAAAAAATCAACGATCATCTAAACCGCTACTTCTACCACATCAACAATGACCAGCCTATTGATCTGACCAAAGGCAAGAGCGATAAGAGCAACTCCCTGGGATCCGCTGCCCTGTCCTCCTCTACCTCCACTCCCACCTCAATTTCACCATCATCAACCATCACCATGGCAAAAGCATCATCTGCTGTGGCTTCCTTCATGTCCAACTCGCCTCTGCGTGAAAATGCTCTGTCCGACATCTCTGATATGCTACGCAACCTCACAGAGAGCCATGCTTCCAAGTCCTCCACACCAACGAGTCTTTCAGAGCGTTCAGATATAGACGGATCAACGCCAGAGGAAACAGAGGAGATCTCTCCCGCTCAGAAACGAAAGGGTCGGCAGTCCAACTGGAATCCTCAGCATCTACATATCTTGCAGGCACAGTTTACCTCCAGTTTGCGGCACACGGGTGATGGCAAGTATATTATGTCAGACCTTAGTCCACAGGAGCGCATGCATATTTCCCGCTTCACTGGCCTCTCAATGACCACCATCAGCCACTGGCTGGCCAACGTCAAATACCAGCTGAGGCGGACAGGTAGCACAAAGTTCTTGAAAAATCTAGACTCTGGCCACCCTGTCTTCTTCTGCAGTGACTGTGCATCACAGATACGTTCCCCCTCTACCTATGTCAGCCATCTTGAGTCACATCTGGGCTTTCGGCTTAGGGACCTGGCTAAGTTGTCTGGAGAGCATCTTGTTACCCAGATCTCACGCCATAACAAGGGGCTTTCTGAGAAACTGCTTTCATCCCAAGCACATTCTTTGGCCCATTCAATCCCCAACCCCAGCCCTCACTCACTTTCCCCCTCCCCTTCCATAGATGAGGAGGCAAATGGCACCTCATATCAGTGTAAACTGTGTAAGCGGACTTTTGTCAGCAAGCACGCTGTCAAGCTCCATCTAAGTAAGACCCATGGTAAATCCCCTGAGGACCATCTTATGTATGTTAGTGAACTTGAGAAACATTAGCGATGACCAAGGACAAAAAAGGTCTCTCATCTCTTTATTTCCTGTCATTTTTCAAGCCTTCTGACTAACATTTCTTAAGGAATAAAAAATATATATCTATTAAAAGAACTGAAAGTAATTAACGAAGAACTAAATGCACATAGATGCCAGAAAACTACTGCTTATTTGTGGCACAACTTTTGGAGTTTTCCTCTGGGGAACACTCATTTGGCCCTAGGGACATTAATTTTCTGCATTTTTAGTTCACAATGGAAAGCTGAGAAAATGATAACAAATTATTTTCTAACTGTGCAGTACTGAGTGAAGAGATCACTGGTAAAATATGAAGGTAAATAAAAAAGACTAAATGAAGTTGTTTGTATTTGAAAGTTGTGTAAATTTAATTTTGTGGCATCCTTGTGATGCAGTAAGCTGCATGCATTAATGAAATGGTTTAGTTCAATATTTGATAACTAAATCTGGGCTTTTCTTTATCTCTCTCTTTACTTCTCTCTCTCTTTTTTCCTTTTTCTTTTTTTATGTGACCTAAGTATGCTGGTATCAGCAGAAAAATTTAACCCTCTGAGTACGCCTAAATACTTCTATATTTACAACACCCCCCTAATTCAACTAAAAAGTCAACTTATATATATATATATATATATATATATATATATATATACCAAGTTTGTATGTATTTGAGTGGGTAAATGCAAGGGTATTTTGAATATCCACTAAAAATCACATTGTCTTATAGATCACCTCTTACACAGTTTGCAGTGCAGAAATATATGTGAATCCAAAATAGCAGTTTTTAGTTTGATCAAATCAGGGGCCTTTATGAATTCAGGTCAGTGTAAAAATGTGTACATAAAAAAGATAAACTAATTTCTGTCTAAATTAATATATATATATATATATATAGATATATATATATATACCAAGTTTGTATGTATTTGAGTGGGTAAATGCAAGGGTATTTTGAATATCCACTAAAAATCACATTGTCTTATAGATCACCTCTTACACAGTTTGCAGTGCAGAAATATATGTGAATCCAAAATAGCAGTTTTTAGTTTGATCAAATCAGGGGCCTTTATGAATTCAGGTCAGTGTAAAAATGTGTACATAAAAAAGATAAACTAATTTCTGTCTAAATTATGCATCATTTTATATTTTTTTAATTTAAGATGAGTATGACTATCTACTGGTGCACAATATATGAAGACATTAATGAAATTGTTTTGCACAATAGTTTTATAAATATGTTATTTAATCAGAAGATATGAAAATGAGAAGAAAAAAATCACCCTAAAGTTTTATTTCCACCTCGTGCTCAAAGGGTTAAACTTATTGTACAAGACAGTACTTGTTCCATCATTTCACTTAAATTGTTGTATAAAAAGATGCTACTTTATAACGTAAGGAGGAATTCCACAATGTAACATTTTATTTATAAACATTCTTGGTTGTTGTTTCATATTGTAGAATGCCTTTTTGATTGGTATATTTTATTTTGTTGTTCTGTCTAATTATTCCTCCATAAAACCACACTGCAGCTTCATAATTTTTGGGGATATGAAAGGTAACCATGGTTACCTTACCTCCAATTGACAGTTCTGCTACGTTTTGGCAGTTAATTTACTGAAGTAACTGACAGCTGCCAGTGAATGGAAATATTATGTGTAAAATATTGGCATGTTAACAGCACAGGCACTGTTATGCATTCTGTGCCGTGTTTTTTTTTTTTTTCCTTTTTTTTGTTGTTGTTGTTGACAATGAAGCACTCATTATATGACTTCATATAACCTTTTTTTCTACTGCAGCATTAAATTGAAATTGTTTTGGTTTTTTGCAATAACTTGATGTGTCATGGCTCACAAGTCTGTCGGGCACCGGGGAATAAGAGATGAGCAGATTAAAGAGAACTGCTGTCAGTTAAATAGCAGTCGACAAGTGTGTGAAAAGACGTTTGTGTGGCAGTAGGGGTAGACCACCGGACCTCTGACAGGAATGAGCATATTAAAATCCGCCAGCTGGCTTGTGTGTGTGTGTGTGTGTGTGTGTGTGTGTGCATGCGGTAGCATAGACCTCTCGGTCTCACAAATATTAAGTGTTATCTCTTATGCGGCAGACTTTAGTGGTGTCATATATTTTTGGCAGATCTATCCCATCACTCCTCTCATCTAATTCCCTGCCTGGTGACACATCGACTCACAACGTCTCCTAATATGGTTTAACTAGGGAAGCATCAGGCAGAGTGAAGAGCGATGCACCTTTCCCTCTCTGCAAAGGAATGTAGCAGATAATTGCTCTGGCATTAACTGTCTCTTTTTCACAATTTTCACTGTTGTAATTAGCTCAGGTTCCCATTTTGCAGGGACAAATTTGTTTGGGCCTCATCCAGGATGACAACAGAATCGCATTTAGAGTATGACTACAAAAAAATGTAAATGACATACTGTATATGCTGATTCCCAGCTTGGTGTTTGTGTGAGCAAGAAAGAGAGAGAGAAAACCTTTCTGAACAGATCAGTGGAAGTAGGGGGCATGTATAAGATATAGCTCATAATGGTGGGACACTTTCTCAAAAATGGTTTACTCTGTTTAGTTACCGAATATGTTCCTCGTCAAATCTGTCAGAGAGCATTCAACATGCATACACACACACACACACACACACACTCAAAGACGTCAGGAGCCAGGTAGAGGGGACATCGTGTGGTGACAAGGTGCTGCTGTGTGTGAAAATGTCAGCCTTCACAGGCATCCCTGAAGTCTGGCGGCATATTTAAGGTGCTCATTAGTTGCAAAGAAAATGTGCGTGAAATTGAAGTGTAAGAAAGCCATTTTCTCTCCTCTCTCCCAGCCTGGTGAGCCACCAAACTAGGGGTTAATAAGGTTGAAAACAACTATACATGGAGACATTTAACTATCAAGAAATGCCTACACTCTCCCACACATGCAAAAAACAATATTCCACTCTTCCTTGATGCTATTGGCATCTTTTTAAAGCTACTCAAACTTTAAATGATATCTGCATACAGGACGGTGTGTCTTGAGATTGTGTTGCATTTGAATTTGACCCATTTCATGACAGGGAGTAAACAAATTGCAAACAGGCGCACACATGCACAGCCAAATGTATGTTTGTGTAGACAAAGCCTACATAATTGCTTTGTGTCTAAATACCTCAACAATGAGTATATTTCCCAGGATGTGAGGAGCATAATTGGTCTGTACACATAATCTGCTCAGAATGAGAGGTTTACGTGTGCGGGAGCGATCCAGCCATTGGAGGCTTTATCTCTGTTGCGCTGTTACAAAAGACCAGTGTCTAAAGCTCAGTGAAACTCTCGAAGCAGCCCTCTCCAACACAAATGAATGCTGTGTTGTAATGCTATTGAGCTACTGAGGGACTTTATGTATTGCTGGACTTTTCAGATAAACAAAATTGCGGATTACGCATGCCGGCGACGGAAATGTATCTGTTTGCGCTATCTCAAACGAACACGCGCAGAGGCCTTTACAATAAGCGAGCACTGGCACATCCCGCCATAGCAAATTACAATGATGCAGGCGACGTGCATCCACTCCACAACAATCGGGCCCTGATTGATTCACTGCTGCGCTGACCCAAGGCTTCACTTTTGTCTGCGGACCCTTTGAGGCGAGCTGTCTCTCTTAACCTGTGTAATTTACATGCACTGTAATTCACTCACCATCTGCAGTCTCACCTTGGAAGCACTCCCATTACAAATGCTAATTTAGAGCACCTTATAAATTCTCTCAATCACACGCTCGTGCGTGGACACACATGGATGAGGAAAAGGCAGATATTAGCAGAAAAAAAAACTCCTTTAAATCATGGGCGTACCCCAGTGACCCCAACATCACCCCAAGGAGGAATGGAGAGATAGAACGGGAGGCGTCGTTGCGTTTTGTTATGCTCCACCATAGATCTTCAAGCTGTCACGTTCCCAAAGTATCTTAAAATAATGCATGTGATGAATGTGCGATTTCCCTAATTTACGGAGCCTTGGTGTGCTCCCGGCTACGTGCAGGATAGAAATCTTAAATGGGGCTTGAACGGTTCTTTGCACAACAAGAAATCAATAGCCCACACATCTTAGGGAACTAGGAGTTAGAAAGAGTGTAATGCTTACTTAAAAGCTCTAAACGCACACCTGTAGTCTCAGAATCATCACACAAACATGGTTGTGTGTGTGTGTTTGTCATTTATACCTCTTGTCTCCGAGAGCCAGTTGGCTGTCAGTGGCTCAGTAAGATGACAAAGGGCATAATGGCGTTGTGCAGCAGTGTGCCATTACAAATGTGATCACCAATCACTCGAGACACAACACACTCCACGCAGGAAGAGGTAATAAGGTCTCAGTAAGCACACACTCACTCCCTCCCAACCCGCTCGCATTCCCACGTGGGCCTGCATGTCTATGAGACAAACATACCGGGGGGAAGAATTATCTACAGTGCAAAAGCAGTTAGTTGCTACAGTACAGATGCACACATACGCCTCAGTATTCATCACAAACGGCAGACGTTAAAGCCCACCAACACAGATGAATGAAAAAAGCCACTATAAAATGCATATAAAAGACACTGAGGGTGAATCTTTTAGTGCGTGTAACACAATAAAATCTGTCTGATATGGTTGGGAGTTGCTGATGCCTGCACCATGACTTCATTTATACACTAATTCATTTTAATTTGCCTTCAAAACAGCATTACTTCTGTTTGTACTGCACCTATGCCCTAGAGACAAACTACAATTAATGCATGTTAAATGTTGTCATGCTCAGTACAGTGTGTTACTACATGTAGATGCTACATAGCTGTTAGTAGGCTAAATGTGTGAATCTGAAAGTGTCACATACTTTACATAATACATATGAAGTTATACATCTAAGAGGTTCAGAATTAAATTAAATTAGACAGTTTAGGTCAGGCAAAATTATAAGGCGAAAAGAAAAATCTAGTTAGCTAATCTATCCTTTATTCAAATGGCCAGTTTGCATCTGTATGCATATCATTGTCATTAATGTGTTAGTCTTTTTTACCCTTTCATTAGTTGAAGAGTTAAAAAAGCATGGCCCTGACATGGCTCTCTTGTCCTGTCACTCACATCTGACCTTTGACCTGAGCATAGGCGTGAATGGCAGGCTAGAAGTTGAATTTATCTGCAACCTCTGCCACTCAGCTTTTCCCAAGTAAAACAGAGCAGAAAATAGTTCACTAAAATAAAGATTTAATATAGAAAAGTTAAAAAATGTCAGTTTATTTCTTCGCTCATATCGTCTTTTAACACTGTGTTGAGGATGTTTGGCATAGATTTGCATAATTTAAACATGATTAAAAAATAGCCACAAATGAACAACAGTGTTTTGTGACATTGAACATGATACATTTTCTTTGCATGCTAGTTTGGTTGTCTTACTTTTTCTTCAGCAAGACATATTAAACAAAGTATGACAATTGTGCTAACCAATCTTCTTGCCTACACTGCATTAACCATACAGTTTCCATTAGTGCCACATGGTTGTTGGATGATGACCACTATATGTGTGTAGTAGCATTAGTTTCCTCTAGGCCTGTCAA